ATAGATAGATAGATAGATAGATAGATAGATAGATAGATAGATAGATAGATAGATAGATAGATAGATAGATAGATAGATAGATAGATAGATAGATAGATAGATAGATAGATAGATAGATAGATAGATACTAGAAATAAAACATGGATGGTAATTTTCAATTCTGCAAGCTTTCTCAAAATGGTAGAAAAGTGGGCCACTTTTAGGGTGTCGTGATTTTAGCGGTCCAGTGATTTTTGGTTAATTTCGAGCAGTTTTCATTGGTCGGAGCAACAATTCCTCCTTCCGATAATTCCCCGACAGACATCTGATGAATGACTGATGAAAAGTTGGATTCGATTAGATCATTGAAAGCGAGCACTTGTTGGGTAATCTAAATCGTTGCTTCGTACCATATTCCTGGAAATAATTCCGGATTTGCAGGTCCGACCCATAGAAGCCAATTATTGTACTCACCTCGCCCTACGCTGCGCATGTCTGCCCTCAATGTTAGTTTAATGAAGTTGCTCCACAAAATACTTGACTTAATACAGCATTCGATGATGTTAGCTCGTGTGCCTCTTATCACGACTTGAATGTGTCCCTCGGAAGTCCCCTTCTGGAAAACAAAAAAATGCTTGTCCAACTAAGAGCGTCTCATTGTTTTTTACCTCGCGAAGAAACGTATCGATGCATCGGAGGGTGGGTGTCTTTGTCGCCCCAGCATGCTTACTTTTGTATAGAACGCGATTGAGCGCAGCTCCTTCTTTCACTCCCACTCACAGTTGAGTTGCCATCCGGTTTGACCGGATGGAAACAAGAGTGCGGAAGACATTGGATCGAAGATAATGCTCAAGATGTTGATGTACCATTAATTTGGATCCTCCGGGTTTCTCGGGTAGATACGGACGTCACCCTCGAACGGTGGCTCGCCAGCTTCGTGTACAAGCATCGGAAAATCAACGTGGGTCCGACTGACGATCTCATCGAAACATCATGTTGACCGCCAGATCTGATCTCCTGCCAGTTTTTGCTTGAGCTTCTACTGAGCATCTGGTAACTTCTCACGATACTATGGTGTTCTTGGAAGAAACGAGCGATTCGATCGCGAATGCGATGGTAGCACTGTTCATTCGATGGGCGATTCTGACGAATATCTGTAGCTTAAGTAATGTCCAGAATGTAAAGTTGCGCGTATTGTGGTAGCTGTTGTGTTGCGGGCTGAAGATGTGACGTCTTATGGTACGACTGGTCATGGACCTTGAAGACTTGTGCGATCTTCCTGGCACGTCGATGATCTTAACTCCCATTGATGCGAATGACACAGAGTTGCTGAACGATGTTATTTACGTCTTGGAGAATTCGTGTCGGACAGCAGGAACTCGGGATTACCGGATTTACTTCGTTTTCATTCTTTGGTTAGGGCAGCTTGACTTTTTCTTTGCGGCAGCACTTGATAATTTTTTTCCCGAAGAATGCGAAACCTTGAGGTTTCTGGATTGACAGAATTGGAAGATTTCAACCATTGACTGTAGTTTTGCGCAACAAGTTGGTTCTCATGAAAGTGAATAGCACCTTGTCGGATCTGATGGCTTTGTCACTTTTTGGTTAAACGCTGACACTTGGAACCTGCAGGTCTTCGCACTTCTGATGATTCAGGCGGTTGAAGCTGTCACCTCTGTTGATGAGATTTGGCACTTGCTGCTCGTCGTGCTTGAGACTTTCCTGTGGTCTCTAAATGATGCTTCCGTCATTCTATCTGTCAACGATCTATCTAATGATCAGTAGTATTTGTGTGTATACTAAAGATAAGTATCGGCCTAGAAGAAGGGTGCCCCATAACGGCAAACTTCATCAGATCGTTGGCATCACTGATCTGCGATTTTTAGTGTTTCAATGGAAAGCGAATACCTTTCCAATCAGTTTTTCTTTTAATTGACTTTAAGGCCTGATTTGGTCATGTTTGAAACACGTCTTTATAATCCTCTAGTTCTGGATGTGTAGTTATGTAGGCCTTTTATGGTGGTTAAACTAGAATCGTACTCAAATAGCCTTACGAATGTGACCAAAAAAATGAAATAATCACGTTGTTTTCCATTAAATACTTACACATTTTATTTAGAATAGTGATGGTATCCTCGTGTGCAGTTGTAGTGCAATTTTTTTACGATGCAAATATAACTGTAGTTTACATTGAATGCCGTCATTTGTTTATGTATTGCAATCAGATTGTCTTGTCAACTTCTTTTTCCCAAAGTCACATCTGTTGAGAAAAAAGATCCAAAGAAAAACTGGATTATGATAAGCTACAATAGGCATCATAAAACAATGGTTGAAAAGGTATTGCATTACGTTTAAAGTTTGTTTTCTATACTGTTGTAGTGGTAGACAATTATGATAACCGACACAACTTTGCTGTTCAATATTTTCTGAAAACTTACCAATGCGTATGCTCTTTATGACTTTTGTTACTGTTGTGACGAATCATAACTATCGAAATAGCTGGTGGTGTGGAGTTCAATCCCCACCAAAGCCATCCCAAGCAACCCGGGTGGATGGGACTCGTTAGCCTTGGACGGCAACCTGTCTAAGAGAAGGCAGACTCTGAATTTAAACCAGGAGCCAGAATGATCAACAAATTGATCGTGGGCACCTCAAATATAAGAAGAAGAACTATACTTACTTAAATTTTTATGTTAACGGCTTTTATAAGACTGACGTATCAATTAGCTTTACGTAACCGTTTATGGTTTAGAATATAAGTGATCAAATACGTCAAATCAGTTTTTTAAGAATCATTTTCTTTCCTTTAAAATGTCAACTTCTTGTCATTGCTAACTTTACGAATGCTATCCGACAGATCAACAAAGCTTTAAAGGATAGAAACTACAAAACTTGGATCGACGTGGAAGATATGAGTGGTTCAACACTCGATTCCATGTCTACTGCCATCGAGGATGCGGCAGCCGTGTTGGTCTGTATGTCACCTGCCTACAAAACCAGCAAATACTGCAAGTTAGGTGGGTCAAAGGAAAGGCAGTTTTGTGTTCTCACCAGCAGCCATATAATCATCTTATAATCATCTTCATTGGTAGTGGCATCAGCGGTGACGTAATTGCGGGGGTTTTATAAACTGGGGGGGGGGTCGTCTTGACAGCGTCAATCAGGAACGGTAACTGGCCAACCATGTGTGAATTACGGAAAGTCTGTGAAAATTTAAAAAAAAGGGATTTCTCGGTTAAAGTCGGTAAAAGCTTTAGGATGTCCGTAAACCATTCATCCATCCATCCATCCATCCATCCATACATCCATCCATCCATTCATCCAATGGACATGAAACACAACCGGAAATCACAGCGATTGTATTTTTTTTTTCATTCTTGCAAGATGATACTCAGGATAAATTCAACACTGATGATAAACTTATACAGTAAAATAAACGTTAAAAAAGAGAGCCAAAGAGAGCCATCGCGTGGACCCTGCAGCCACCCTCCGGCGACAGGGGGTCTCTCGGATATTAAGGGGCCCAACGTTTTGATGGTGCAAAATTTAAACTAAACAATCTTGAATGAAAAAAAAACAAAAAGTGTGGGGATGGGGGGGGGGGAGGCAGAAAAGTTGGGAGAGGGGATCTCCGAAGGCAACGCCACTGAAACCTCGTCGTCATATATGGACCCTGCAGCCACCCTCCGGCGACAGGGGGTCTCTCGGATATTAAGGGGCCCAACGTTTTGATGGTGCAAAATTTAAACTAAACAATCTTGAATGAAAAAAAAACAAAAAGTGTGGGGTTGGGGGGGGGGAGGCAGAAAAGTTGGGAGAGGGGATCTCCGAAGGCAACGCCACTGAAACCTCGTCGTCATATGACATAAGGTCATATAGACGGTGCCAGATAAACCTAAAGGCTAATGAGTCACGTGACAGGTGATCTATAAAAAAAAAAGTTCATTTTCAAATATGCGTATGCCTTTCTATACATTACAAGTTCCATAAATAGCTTGAGAAAAAGAAAAAGTAAGGGGGAAAATACAAGTTCTAAACTGTTTGTGTTAGACGGCCATAGCCATATAGAGTATTTTGACATCATTTTAATTACAGCTGGGATGGGTAAAATTTCAAAGTAGAATGTCAGCTCATGGGGTAGAATGAATAAGTTGAAGAAAAAAAATTGTGGGTCGAAAGAATTTGTATCTATTTCTCAATCGTGCTATTTAAAAGGTTTACTCGATCTGAAATCTGAAAGTGAAGAATATTTGGGGTGGGGTGGGGGCGGCGTACCTCGACTTAGAACTCCCCCCGGGGCAAATTTCCAAAAATGCCCAAAGACACGCATCGATTTATATAACGTTAGGCGCATGTGCCCCGGAGAGCCTCCAGGGGCAGTCGCCTCCTTAACGACTACCAAAGATGAGCACGAAATGCAAAGCTTCAACTGTCTCGGTTCGTCTACACACCTTAATGCGTGACTTAGGCTGCAAAAGTGGCATAATAGACGGGGCGTCTCTGCGAATGCGATGCTTTGAAAAAATTTAATGAAAATGCATTTACTATGGTTTGCCTTCAGAAAAATGCACTAAGAAAATTAATAGAGTGTTACAGTGCCCCTTAAGTAGTATAATGTGTTTTACTTAGAGATTGATGGCCATGTTTCATCTTAACTACTTAGAGATTGGTGGCCATGTTACATCTTAACTACTTAGAGATTGATGGCCATGTTACATCTTCACTACTTAGAGATTGATGGCCATGTTTCATCTTAACTACTTAGAGATTGGTGGCCATGTTACATCTTAACTACTTAGAGATTGATGACCATGTTACATCAAAACTACTTAGAGATTGATGACCATGTTACATCTTAATTACTTAGAGATTGATGGCCAGGTTACATCTTAACTACTTAGAGATTGGTGGTCATGTTACATCTTAACTACTTAGAGATTGATGGCCATGTTACATCTTAACTACTTAGAGATTGATGGCCATGTTACATCTTAACTACTTAGAGATTGATGGTCATGTTACATCTTAACTACTTAGAGATTGATGGCCATGTTACATCTTAACTACTTAGAGATTGATGGCCATGTTACATCTTAACTACTTAGAGATTGATGGCCATGTTACATCTTAACTACTTAGAGATTGATGGCCATGTTACATCTTAACTACTTAGAGATTGATGGCCATGTTACATCTTAACTACTTAGAGATTGATGGCCATGTTACATCTTAACTACTTAGAGATTGATGGCCATGTTACATCTTAACTACTTAGAGATTGATGGCCATGTTACATCTTAACTACTTAGAGATTGATGGCCATGTTACATCTTAACTACTTAGAGATTGATGGCCATGTTACATCTTAACTACTTAGAGATTGATGGCCATGTTACATCTTAACTACTTAGAGATTGATGGCCATGTTACATCTTAACTACTTAGAGATTGATGGCCATGTTACATCTTAACTACTTAGAGATTGATGGCCATGTTACATCTTAACTACTTAGAGATTGATGGCCATGTTACATCTTAACTACTTAGAGATTGATGGCCATGTTACATCTTAACTACTTAGAGATTGATGGCCATGTTACATCTTAACTACTTAGAGATTGATGGCCATGTTACATCTTAACTACTTAGAGATTGATGGCCATGTTACATCTTAACTACTTAGAGATTGATGGCCATGTTACATCTTAACTACTTAGAGATTGATGGCCATGTTACATCTTAACTACTTAGAGATTGATGGCCATGTTACATCTTAACTACTTAGAGATTGATGGCCATGTTACATCTTAACTACTTAGAGATTGATGGCCATGTTACATCTTAACTACTTAGAGATTGATGGCCATGTTACATCTTAACCTCTTAGAGATTGATGGCCATGTTACATCTTAACTACTTAGAGATTGATGGCCATGTTACATCTTAACTACTTAGAGATTGATGGCCATGTTACATCTTAAATACTTAGAGATTGATGGCCATGTTACATCTTAACTACTTAGAGATTGATGTCCATGTTACATCTTAACCACTTAGAGATTGATGTCCATGTTACATCTTAACTACTTAGACATTGATGGTAGTGTTACATCTTAACTACTTAGAGATTGGTGGTCATGTTACATCTTATTTACTTAGAGATTGATGGCCATGTTACATCTTAACTACTTAGAGATTGATGGCCATGTTTCATCTTAACTACTTAGAGATTGGTGGCCATGTTACATCTTAACTACTTAGAGATTGATGACCATGTTACATCTCAATTACTTAGAGATTGATGGCCAGGTTACATATTAACTACTTAGAGATTGGTGGTCATGTTACATCTTAACTACTTAGAGATTGATGGCCATATTACATCTTAACTACTTAGAGATTGATGGCCATGTTACATCTTAACTACTTAGAGATTGATGGTCATGTTACATCTTAACTACTTAGAAATTGATGGCCATGTTACATCTTAACTACTTAGAGATTGGTGGTCATGTTACATCTTAACTAATTAGAGATTGATGACCATGTTACATCTTAACTACTTAGAGATTGATGGCCATGTTACATCTTAACTACTTAGAGATTGGTGGTCATGTTACATCTTAACTACTTAGAGATTGATGGCCATGTTACATCTTAACTACTTAGAGATTGATGGCCATGTTTCATCTTAACTACTTAGAGATTGGTGGACATGTTACATCTTAACTACTTAGAGATTGATGACCATGTTACATCTTAACTACTTAGAGATTGATGGCCATGTTACATCTTAATTACTTAGAGATTGATGGCCAGGTTACATCTTAACTACTTAGAGATTGGTGGTCATGTTACATCTTAACTACTTAGAGATTGATGGCCATGTTACATCTTAACTACTTAGAGATTGATGGCCATGTTACATCTTAACTACTTAGAGATTGATGGTCATGTTACATCTTAACTACTTAGAGATTGATGGCCATGTTACATCTTAACTACTTAGAGATTGATGGCCATGTTACATCTTAACTACTTAGAGATTGATGGCCATGTTACATCTTAATTACTTAGAGATTGATGGCCATGTTACATCTTAACTACTTAGAGATTGATGGCCATGTTACATCTTAACTACTTAGAGATTGATGGCCATGTTACATCTTAACTACTTAGAGATTGATGGCCATGTTACATCTTAATTACTTAGAGATTGATGGCCATGTTACATCTTAACTACTTAGAGATTGATGGCCATGTTACATCTTAACTACTTAGAGATTGGTGGCCATGTTACATCTTAACTACTTATAAATTGATGGCCATGTTACATCTTAACTGCTTAGAGATTAATGGCCATGTTACATCTTAACTACTTAGAGATTGATGGCCATGTTACATCTTAACTACTTAGAGATTGATGGCCATGTTACATCTTAACTGCTTAGAGATTGATGGTCATGTTACATCTTAACTACTTAGAGATTGATGGCCATGTTACATCTTAACTGCTTAGAGATTGATGGCCATGTTACATCTTAACTACTTAGAGATTGATGGCCATGTTAGATCTTAACTACTTAGAGATTGATGGCCAGGTTATATCTTAACTACTTAGAGATTAATGGCCATGTTAAATCATAACTACAAGAGACAGACTGTTTCGTCGAGAATTCATTATTTATGAAATTCAGTTGTTGTTTTTTGTATCTTCAGATGTGCGGGCTCTACTCTTTGTTTCAATATTCACTAAACAGTTGAGTAACTCTGTTCCTGTATCAAATTTCTTTCCGTCTCTTACAGAGGCCGAGTACGCCTACCTGCGGGAGCTTCCAGTCATATTTCTTCAAATGGAAAGAGACTACAAACCTGACGGCTGGTTGGGAATTTTACTTGGGGACAAACTGTTTTACGACTTCTCTGGTAATGTTTCCTAATATATATCGAGAGGCAAACTCAAATTGGTTTTAACTTCAAAGCATTTCCCCCATGTGTTGACAGCTTTGATTAAGGAAAAAATCGATATAAACAAACGAGGTTTGAAATGTTTTCTAATTGGCGAAAAAAACTTTCTCTAGAATGGTAGCTGTATCCCGCAACAAACAATACTTGCTGCAATGCGTGAACTCCCAATCGTCTCAAGTACTTGACAAGAAATGCATCGGAGTAACGCACTTTGTAAGCAACTCAATTAGTGTTCCCCCCCCCACCTCCCGGTACCGGTACGTCCCAGCCCCTGACCTATATTAATATTCTAATGACCCACCCGCTCTTTCATCGCAGATTGATTTCACAAATTATTTCAGAAAAACATAAGAAAATATTACCCACCAAGCGCAATCGCATTTTTTTTTAAGACTCATTCAGCGGAGATATCAGGAATTTTATGTCGTGACATCAGTGTCATCATGTTCCCTTCATCTCCCTTTGAAAAAAAAAAAAAACCCTGCTTTTTGAGGGGCTTGGGTTGGGATTGGAGCTGATTGATAGAATCTGTTGTCATTGACAATGCGTCTGTGTGCCAAGTGTCAGCTCGATAGTTTGATGGGAAGTGGGTCAATGAGCCGTCCGGAGATTTTGCCAGCCACGAACAGAAGGAAATTTAATGTAGGGTTTGTTTAAAACTTTGAATGATTTTCCCACTTCTGGTCGCTATGCGACGATTACCTTTCTTGCTTCAGGCGACGACATTACGTCAGGCCTTGCACTATACTATAAAGGCCTTCTTCTCTTTCAACACACAATGGTTCCCCCCCCCCACCCCGCAGGAAAAAAATGACCCCCTTCTCTGCACTGTTGAACCCACTTCCAAATAAATCGTTACAAACTGTGATCTGAAACGTATGTCCTTTATATTTCTGTGGGGTTTTGTTCTGCCTAAACATATCTTGTACCATGATTTATTTACATTAATGTAATGACAGCTGTTTGGCCTAAAGCATGACACGATTTTCAGCCCACCGGTTGACAATCTTATGTGTTTTCCATCATCACCCAGATGAGAACAGAACACTGTCCCACACGAAAGCTGCTTTGACCGCTTACATCCTCTTTGAGACCCGAGCTGCCGTCACTGCGGACAGGCCAAAGTAGGACACTTGCTAGCCGAGTGCCCCGACAATAATGAGTTGAGGGGTTGGGTACACCCCCAGACATCCACACAGATATCCTGATCTACGGCGAGACCCAACAGATGTGGTCCCGAAAAGAGAAGATCATATTTAAGACGTTTTCCTCGATGCTTGCTATCAAGGCCTGGATTTTTTCAGACATTTTTTTCTTCTAATTCATAATGTCGACCTTAAATTTATTCCCCCTCTGTGTTTTTTTTCCTCTTTTTTTTGTTTTTTTTTTAAACTTTTCGCATTTGGGATCGAAGGCATGGTGTACTATCCGAATCTATTTATGTTCAACTAAGAGCAATTACAAAACTATAACTTAATAAATTTTTCAGGTAAATATGACTTTGACAGTAAATTGATCCAGATGATGAAAGAACTGGATAAAACTCTTGGACAAAAAGCACCGGTATGGTTATAATCAATTTCATATGACACTATCGTCTCTAAGTAAAGCTATTTATTGCCAACGCAAATATAGAGAAAACCTGAAAGATCTCAAACAAACAAAAGTTGTTTGTTTTTTATTCTTTTGGAGCGTGGGGGGCTGTGTGGTCTTGTTGCTGGTCTCCCCCTACTCTGTTATACTCCTATTGCTACACTTATTTCTTGCTTAACTGACTTTGTGGTGGTGGTTTTATAATCAAACAATTGTTAAAATATGTATTTCAAAATCCGTTCTCCTTTTCCTCCTTTATTTCTTTCGGTGCCTCTTTCTCAATTCAGATGCGTATACTAACTCTCCGCCTAGTTTCCTCCTCTATATTTTCCTTCCCTTTCTCCTTATCACTCCTTCTTACTCTCTTTCCATATGGTGACAACCGTCGACCGTTTCTTATTCGATATTATGGAAAACAGAAACTTGTTTTCAACGTACAATGTAATTTTTCTGGGTTCCCTTCTGCTGTTGATTCTTCCCAACCTTCACGGCACACCAATTTTTGGTGGAATTAAAATATTTCTTTCCCAGACAGATTATGCGCAGCCTTACATAGACGCGGCTTTCCTCAATGTCATTGAATGTAATCTATTGACAGCAAACTAAAACAACGACAGCGAATCCGGGCGAAACCCGGGGCAAATCTGAAACTGTTCCACAAACTCCAACCGTGAACAGAGCTGAGGCTACTCAACAAACTGACGATGTCAACAAAGTTGAGGCGGTTCAACAAACTGAAACCGTCAACAAAATGGAAGTTGCTAAACAAACATCTGGACAGAGCAAACATATGGTTGGCTAATTCTTTTTGTTTTTGTTTTTGTTATAACCACTCCAGTGAGAACAATAAATATTTCCTGCTGTACATTTACTAATGGATTGGTTTTAAAAAGCGCATCATGTATCACTTACAAATCCCCTTTTTAATATCATTGAACATGAAATGTGTGCCATAATTTGTTCACTGTTGTATGATCTGTTGTCGGACTCATTTTGTTCACTGTTGTATGATCTGTTGTCGGACTCATTTTGTTCACTGTTGTATGATCTGTTGTCGGACTCATTTTGTTCACTGTTGTATGATCTGTTGTCGGACTCATTTTGTTCACTGTTGTATGATCTGTTGTCGGACTCATTTTGTTCACTGTTGTATGATCTGTTGTCGGACTCATTTTGTTCACTGTTGTATGATCTGTTGTCGGACTCATTTTGTGCACTGTTGTATGATCTGTTGTCGGACTCATTTTGTGCACTGTTGTATGATCTGTTGTCGGACTCATTTTGTGGAAACGGAAGACACCTCAAACGTATCCATTTGCTCTTTTTTTATTCTAAAATTGAACTACGGAGTTTTTCCACCAGTGCCCTCCAAGCTGTGTTTGGACACGGCTGCGTGTCAGCTGCGGCGTGAAAGTGCTTCGCGCGACATTAAGCTTGACCAGTGGTCAGCAAAGTCATTGGTCAAAAGAACCAGAAATCATCGGCAGAGCGATTAATTTTTTTTTTTTTTCCTATCGATTTTTCTTTGTTTTCCTATCAAGAACCTGTCTAGAGCCATGTTTTTCGGAGTCAAACCCGATTTCTGTCCGACTGGCCCAGCCGCACTCATGTCGCTGAATAGCGGCTCGTGAGCCGCGATTCGCTGACCACTGAGCTATACCAACATTTACCAATTTTTGTTGAGACATCAAAGGAAACGTTCAAGGCACAAGTCTCGTGCAAGGTTACGCCGTAACACCTCTCTTCTACCAGAACGCATGGATAGCCAGCAAGTTCATCTCGGACACGCCTGTTAGCACCAGTATTCAGAGAGCTTTTCTTAATGATCCTTTTTTTAAAGTTTTTATGAGTAGACCTATTTACCACCGGGTTAGTGCCAGAGTAGTTTTGAGCTCTCAAAAACGCAGTTTCAAGCTCCAAAGAGCACTTTGGTCAATTAGCGGGGAGGGGGTGGTGCCATAAAAATACAAGTTTGTGTAAGGAAGTCCACTCGGTTACTTAGCTGTTTATACAAGGTAACATAAAGAAATATATAAAGCGATGGTTCTCCAATGTGCTGAAGGATGTCGTTCTTATTCGATTGCTCACGATGTTAACACAAAAAACTGCGGTACCTTTTTTACTGACGACAACCCAACTATCTTTTTTTTTTTTACTAAAAATAAACCAAACAAACCAAAAAAAACTCCAGAAACCGTAGTTGTTTTTTTTTTTAGGTTTGTCGTAGTGCAGTAGTCTAAGTCTTAAAATGTAGTTATTACGGTGCAAGCGTTGGGGCAAACAGGACTGTTTGTATGAGATATGTTGTGTCACCATACATTTTGTTATAACACTTGTTTGCTTTTTTTTATGTCCGTAGTTCTTACAACGGGTTGGTAAAACCGATGATATCAGAGTCGAACTGACGGACTGTCGCGTGTAATGATGTTCCAGTATGACTAAAATGTGTGCCGCGACGCAGTTTGAAGAGCACTGATGGGCACAAGGGTCAATCGAGGACGCGACAGTCGTTGTAGATTTAAAAGTCCCTTTGAGATTGAGCTCTGTGCAAATTTCAGGTGCGTCGAATTCGGCGAACCAGAGATGATGTAAGCATTTGAATGTGAAACTCAAAAATCCATAATAGATATTGATCATAAAGAAGATTCTGTTTCTATTAATAGGGGAGTTCTTATTTGAAAAAAATAATTCTTATTTGGTAGAGCGCCGATTATCTAAAATCCCCTTGTATTTTTTTTTTCTTTTTTACAATCGTACGCAATACCTAAAACTCGGGTGAAATCTCTAGTTACGTACTAACCATGCGGTGATCAGACTGGGTTAATGCGACCACAAACTTGTTTATGAATATTCATATTTCAGAATACACTCCTGCGAAAAAAAGGTGATATCGGATTTTATTTAAAGCGCCAGTCAATTATTTTGGGGGCAAAAACTCATTTCGCAGATTTTTAAAAAAATCAAGTCTTCAGCTATTTTTTTTTTGTCCATCCCTCGCCAGAGGCACTGTGTGACAGGGTTTTGTGCTCAGGTGTCCGAACACCCAACTCGTATGGAAAAATCGCTGTTCCATATAGTCTTCTTAACGAATGTTATCGCTTTGATGCAAACGTGGCTTAAATCTATGAACATTCGTGATAATTGTCACCTATTCCACAGACATTATACCATGATAGATTTGACATTTGACAGACATCATATTATGATAGATTTGACATTTGACAGACATAATATCATGACAGATTTGACATTTGACAGAAATATTACCATGAGAGATTTGACATTTGACAGAAATCATGCTATGATAGATTTGACATTTGACAGACATCATACTATGGCAGATTTGACATTTGACACTAAGGTTGTTATTTTTATTAATCATTCCCTTTGAAAAAGCAACAAACGACACAAACAGAAGTAACGGCACTTACTTCCAAACATGGAGGAACACTTCACGAAGTGACACCTTTAATCTCAAAGATTCCTGACACAGTTCAGGTAGTCCCAAAGGTCACAACAGTTGAAATTGCCAACAAGGTGAGAATACTTTGTGTATTCGAGCCCATTTTTTTTTTAATTTTCATTTTAATTTTTTTTTTTAATTCAAAATATTTTTTTTAAATTGATATTACTTTTTTTAAACATGCCAGTTTCCTAAAGCAATGATTTATTTAATGTAAATTACTCAAATATCTAAATTATGAAATTAATTAACTACACGAATGCCTTAAAACTTTTAGCAATTTTAGTGAATCCATTTGATGGCAAAGTGGCTCACAAACAATGCTAGTGCTAAGTAGTGCGTTATAATTGTAAAATTAATGTTCAATTGAAACCAATAATTGCACTAGAATGAACAATTTAACAAAGTGAGTCCCAAAAGAATGAAAAAAATTTGCCTTGCAAATCCCCAGGCCTTACACAGGCAGAGATTCAATTATTTCAACACTTTCTGTAGATTTAACACCCCGAGGGGGAGGGGGGGCCTGATGCATTCCCAATTGATGTGTATGTCTGCATGGCATTGGGAAGAGTTTTTGTTATTTTTCTGACCATACCACGTGTCTCTAAAAATAAGGTCACATTCTCACACTGCGTGGATCAAGACATCCTTGGTATTATTTCTGACTGGAAACAAACTGCCCAACATTTAAGTCGGAATTTGACAGACATCATACCATGACAGATGTTACATTTGACAGAAATTATACTATGGCAGATTTGACGTTTGACACTAAGGTTGTTATTTTTATTAATCATTCCCTTTGAAAAAGCAACAAACGACACAAACAGAAGTAACGGCACTTACTTCCAAACATGGAGGAACACTTCACGAAGTGACACCTGTAATCTCAAAGATTCCTGACACAGTTCAGGTAGTCCCAAAGGTCACAACAGTTGAAATTGCCAACAAGGTGAGAATACTTTGTGTATTCGAGCCCTATTTGAAAAATATTTTATTTTTTATATTTTTTTAATTCAAAATTATTATTTTTTAAATTGATATTAATTTTTTTTAAATATACCAGTTTCTTAAAACAATGGTTTATTTAATGTAAATCACTAAAATCTCTTAATTATGAAATTAAATAATTACACGAATGCCTTAAAACTTTTAGCAATTTTAGTGAATCCATTTGATGGCAAAGTGGCTCACAAACAATGCTAGTGCTAAGTAGTGCGTTATAATTGTAAAATTAGTGTTCAATTGAAACCAATAATTGCACTAGAGTGAACAATTTAAAAAAGTGAGTCCTAAAAGAATGAAAAAAAATTGCCTTGCAAATCCCCAGGCCTTACACATACAGAGATTCAATTATTTCAACACTTTCTGTAGATTTAACATCCCGAGAAAACGGGGGGGGGGGGCGGGGGGAGCGGGGCTGATGCATTCCCAATTGGTGTATATGTCCGCATGGCATTGGGAAGAGTTTTTTTTCCTTTTCTGACCATACTACGTGTCTCTAAAAATAAGGTCACATTCTCAAACTGCATGGATCAATACATTCTTGGTATTATTTCTGACTGGAAACCAAACCACGGCAATGCGTGAACTTCCAAATCTACTAAAAATGACTTGTCAAAGCACACATTCAAGCAGCGCACTTCATAAGAATCCCCAGTTTAGTGCTAACGTCTGGGGAACTCTATTTTTGCTCGCAGCTTTACTAACACGCACACATGCCAAGAGAATTATTATATGTGATCATAAAAAAGACGTTAAAAATCACGTGAAGTATTTCAGTTCAGCTTGCCTATAAAAATAAATTAAGAATCTCCTTACAAAATACTAGTTAAAATATCGAAATACATAAAACCTTATGCGTATGTGTGTAATCCAGCCTGCATCTATTCTATTCCCATTGTTTTTTTAATCTTCTTTTTATTAACATATGTTCATTTCTCTCCAATCTTTTTTTTTTTTTTTTTAATAATAAACCTCAAAGAAACTTGATACAACAGTAGCGTTAAGGAGCCGACCCAGTACAGTGGGTAGCAAGAAGAGAGATAATAAAACCTTATGCGTATGTGTGTAATCCAGCCTGCATCTATTCTATTCCCATTGTTTTTTTAATCTTCTTTTTATTAACATATGTTCATTTCTCTCCAATCTTTTTTTTTTTTTTTTTTTAATAATAAACCTCAAAGAAACTTGATACAACAGTAGCGTTAAGGAGCCGACCCAGTACAGTGGGTAGCAAGAAGAGAGATAAGGACATAATGTAAGTGCCTGGCGTTGACCATCACCTAAGCTAGTCCATAATAAATACAGCGGCGTGTAAAGCTTCTGCTAAACACGGCGTTGTGTTTGCAAGCTTTCACTTTTATAT